TCATGAAAACAAAAAAAAAAGGCAGATAAAGGATCACAGAGAATGTTGCTTCAGTGTTTCAAGTAAATTATCAAATAAATCCAATTTCTGCAGCTCCTGTGAAGCACAGCTGCCTGGAAGAGCCCTGGGCAGGCTCTGATCAGGTGTGGTGGCACAGGGGCTGCCCTGGGCTCTGCACTCCCTGCCCAGCTCAGCTGTGCCCAGCAGCCCCGGGCATCCATCAGGGCCACTCGGGCCACAGAGCACCGCACACGGCAGTGGGCAGTGACACTGAAGTTTCTCCCCTGTCCAAGTAATGTAAGAGACATTACCAGAATCAGATTTCCTTTAAATTACACTATTGCAAAGGGATATAATTGTATTAAACGTATTATGTTGCTTCCTTAAGACTTTATATTATGTACACTTAATTGAGATACAAAGCTCTTTTCAGCTATAAAAATGACAACTACTTTATTAAGGCTTAAATCTTATTTTTCCATGATAGGATGCTTCCTTTCAAGACTCAAAACATTCAGAATCTCTCATGATAATCAGGCTGAACCTGATTTAAAGAAGATGTTCGTGCCCAGTGTTGTCAGGTTCTAATGGCATCGAAGCAAGCCAGCAGGGCCATTAACTCTCCCCTCAGTCTAAATCCAGGGAGTCTGATTTAATTTACAAATAAAACTTCAAATTCTGACCCAGGGCTACTACAAGGGCAAACAAAAATCATCAGCCATCCCTGCCTACAATCCCCCCACTAATGGCAAATGAGATGCCAGAGCTTTCTGTTCTCATTTTCTGCCCTCACTGAAGGCAGCTCTGAGTTCTGTGAACTCTCAGCACAGGAAAACTCAGCCTGTCCAAAACAGCTGCGAGCTGTCCATCAACATCCCCGGCACGTCAGCTCTGAGGCTGCTGAGCCCTTTCACACACACACACACACACACACAGAGACACAGAGACACACAGACACACACACACACACAGAGACACACAGACACACAAACAGACACACACACACACACACACACACAGAGAGACACACAGACACACACACACACACACACACACACACACACACAGAGACACACAGACACACAAACAGACACACACACACACACACACACAGAGAGACACACACACACACACACACACACACACACACAGAGACACACAGACACACAAACAGACACACACACACACAGACACACAGAGAGACACACACACACACACACACACACACACACACAGAGACACACAGACACACAAACAGACACACACACACACAGACACACAGAGAGACACACACACACACACACACACACACACACACAGAGAGACACACAGACACACACACACACACACACACACACACACACACAGAGACACACAGACACACACACACACACACACACACACACACACACACAGAGACACACACACACACACACACACACACACACACACACACACAGAGACACACAGACACACAAACAGACACACACACACACACACACACAGAGAGACACACACACACACACACACACACACACACACAGAGACACACAGACACACAAACAGACACACACACACACAGACACAGAGAGACACACACACACACACACACACACACACACACAGAGACACAGAGACACACAGACACACACACACACACACACAGAGACACACAGACACACAAACAGACACACACACACACACAGAGACACAGACACACAAACAGACACACACACACACACACACAGACACACAGAGACACACAGAGACACAAACAGACAGACACACACACACACACACACACACACACACAGACACACAAACAGACACACACACACACACACACACACAGAGACACACAGACACACAAACAGACACACACACACACACACACACACACACACACACAGAGACACACAGACACACAAACAGACACACACACACACAGACACACAGAGACACACAGACACACAAACAGACACACACACACACACACACACACAGAGACACACAGACACACAAACAGACACACACACACACACACACACACAGAGACACAGACACACAAACAGACACACACACACACACACACACACAGGTGCCACCAAAGCTTCCCTGCAGGAGCCAGTGCGGGGGCAAGCAAAGAACACGAGGCACCCACTGCACCCTCACACAGAGCCCAGCAGAGCCCAGCCCAGCCCAGCCCAGCTCAGCCCAGCCCAGCCCAGCAGAGCCCAGCCCAGCCCAGCCCAGCCCAGCCCAGCTCAGCCCAGCCCAGCCCAGCCCAGCAGAGCCCAGCCCAGCCCAGCAGAGCCCAGCCCAGCCCAGCCCAGCTCAGCCCAGCCCAGCCCAGCCCAGCCCAGCCCAGCCCAGCCCAGCCGAGCCCAGCCCAGCCCAGCCCAGCCCAGCCCAGCAGAGCCCAGCAGAGCCCAGCCCAGCCCAGCCCAGCCCAGCCCAGCCCAGCAGAGCCCAGCCCAGCCCAGCCCAGCCCAGCCCAGCCCAGCTCAGCCCAGCCCAGCTCAGCCCAGCCCAGCCGAGCCCAGCCCAGCCCAGCAGAGCCCAGCCCAGCAGAGCCCAGCAGAGCCCAGCCCAGCCCAGCCCAGCCCAGCCCAGCAGAGCCCAGCCCAGCCGAGCCCAGCCCAGCCCAGCAGAGCCCAGCCCAGCCCAGCCCAGCCCAGTTCAGCCCAGCAGAGCCCAGCCCAGCCCAGCCCAGCCCAGCCCAGCAGAGCCCAGCAGAGCCCAGCCCAGCCCAGCTCAGCCCAGCCCAGCCCAGCCCAGCCCAGCCCAGCCGAGCCCAGCCCAGCCCAGCCCAGCAGAGCCCAGCAGAGCCCAGCCCAGCCCAGCCCAGCCCAGCAGAGCCCAGCAGAGCCCAGCCCAGCCCAGCCCAGCCCAGCCCAGCCCAGCCCAGCAGAGCCCAGCCCAGCTGGTTCCAACCCCTCTGAGGTGCCCGGGGAGGGAAGGCAGCCCCAAATCCCAAGCCCAGCACAACGGGACAAGCACGAGCACTTCTGGAAGAGGAGATGGAGCAGGTTTGTGTTACAAGAGATAAAAACATGAAAACAAAATATATTGCAGAACTCAAAGACCTTATCTGTACCCAGCCTCTCTTTGCAATAATTCATTCAAGAAAGATCCGGGAATAATTTTTGATGTAAACTCTGCTACAAACATACATCACAGTGCTGATAAAAATCACAGACAAAACTTGTGAAATACAGTGAGTTTCATTCCTTTATGCTACTAAAATAACTTTTTTCCATTTAAAATTCAAGAGATACTGATCTGCTGTTCAGTTCCCCAAAATGCATCATTCTGAGATGTCACACTAAAAGTCTTTTCTGCTGGCCTAAAATAATGACTTTTGGAACATCTTTAGTGAGTTGGGAAAAGGTCAGCAGTTTCAGGAGGAAGTATTTTCTCCTTTTGGAACTGTGCTGAACCATTATTTAGTAGGAGAAGTTAAAGATGTTCACACAAAAATGAGCAAATAAGCCCCTCGGTACTGCCATGGTTGCCTTGGTTCCAACCTGTCAGTGTCCTCTGCAAAGCCACTGTGATTCTTCACTCAGTGGTCCCCATGAGCAGGCACTGCCCTCCTGCACCTGGGCTCTGTTTGGGGGTTGAAACTCCTGGGTTGGCAGGATCTGGGGACAAACAGAGCTCCCCACAGCAGCGGTGCTGCCTCTGGGGCTGGAGAGCCCCATCCTGCAGGACGAGGGGTCCAGGGATTGTCGCTGGTGCGTTGACAGCAGTGGAAACCTCAGGTTTCAACTGGACTTTCAAGTACAGCCTTGTTTTGGGGGCACCATTTTATCCCCTCAATGTCTGCATTTGCAGAAATGTGGGTACAGAGCAGAGGTGTGGCAGGATTTACCAGCACAAACTGCCCCTTGCACTGTACACAAAATCCTCACGTGTTTCAGACAGCCAGGTCACTGGGGAAGCTTCTCCTTGGGATTGTGCCTACCCAAGGACCATGAAATCTTGATGGAGAGACAGAAAAGGAAGACAACGACTAAGCCAAGAACATGGAGTAGGAAGGGGTAATGAAGGGGAGAAGGATATAGTTCAATAATTGCTGATAAAATCTGTGGCAGCCATAAATTTACTCTTCCAAGAGAATTCAACAGATCATTACCTCTGTAAATATGTATCACATAATTCTCCCTCTCTGTCACCTTGCAGATAAGTACTTAATACCAGCATCTCACTACCCTGCAGAGGCACAAGTGCAATAAAATCCATCTGAGCTTTTGAACTGCAGTCACTTTTTGATCATAGACGGTTCCATTTTGGCCCCACTGGGAGCCATTGCCCAATTCTCCCAGGGCCCATCCTGTGCTTTTTAAAACAACTTTTCCAGACAGAGACTCTCATTCCTCTCCTGACACAACAAGCAGAAGCCCTTGCTTTTGGAGTTGCACTCACAGAGCCAGCTCTGACCTCTGGGCAATGGCTGAGCTGGGATGTCCAGCCTGTCCCCAGACCTGGCTGTCACTGCTGTCCTGTCACCACCACAGAACGGAATGCCCAGAGTGGCACCTTCAGTGCCAGTGACCCTGCAGCCATGGCAAATGGGGCAAATCCAGGCTGAGCTGATACTCTCTGTGTGTCTGAGATCTTCAGTTGCACCAAAGACATTTAAAACCAGCCTGGAAGTTAAAAAGTGCCCAAGAATTGCCATTATGTTGAAACATGGATTTGCTGGCTGTGCTGCAGGGCTGGAGACAGCTGGGCAGAGCCAGAGTTCCCTTGGTGGCACAGTGGGCAAGAAACACTGAGTGATGCCATTAGCTGAGAGCAGCATCAGAGGACACTCGTAAAATGTGTGTCTGTTTATGCTGTGTTCTCTGTAACAGAACTGAGTCAGATTAAAAACATCCTGTAATGAAAAAAACACACCTAGAGAAAGAAAAGGACATGGTAGCAATAATTCTTTGGACATGGAGCACATCCAGGGAGGCAGAGAAGAGAGAACATAAATAAAAAGGACTACTCACTTGGGCTTTTTTCTTCCGCAAGGTCACAGGCACAGAGGAGTTCAGAATCGATTGAAATGGGTTTCTGCTTAATCCAAAACTTAGTGCTGGCCTTCTGATTAGTAACAGGGTCTATCTCTACCTTGTCTCCAGAAATACCTGAGATGAGAAAGAATAGAGAGCCACAAGAGTGATCTGTTTAACCGATTTCATATCAGCCGTTTGACACACTTTATAAATCTTAAATGGGCTGAAGGTATATTGCCCTTCTGGGCTTTCTGAAGGCACGGGAGCTTTGGAAACCAGAAGCAAATGGTTATCAAACTGCATTGATAATCTGCATTTTATTCTCCTGCATAAGCATACCAAAAGAAAGAAATATCACAGAAAAGATTCTTCTAAAGGCATACAGAGCTCTTCTGGAAGCAGTAGCTACACGAGCTGTGAGATTTATAGGAGATAGTGCTGGTTTTGCAGTCACCACTGCTCTGTGTAATAGACACTATCACCACCCACCCCTCTCCATCTGCTGTACAGCAGACATGCAACCATACAATAACAGAACCAGAGGTTCAGACTGTGCCGGGCTGGGAGGGAACCATCAGGATCGCAGAGTGCAATGCTGGCCCTGCACAGGACACCCAACAACCCCACTGTGCCTGCAGCACTGTCCCAACAGTGCCTCTTGAACCCCGGCAGGGCTGATGCTGTGCCCACTTTCCAGGGAAGCCTGTTCCAGAGCCCAGCCCTGCCCTGGGTGAAAATCCCTTTCCTGATATCCAACCTCAATGTCCCTGACTCAGCTTCAGCCCCTTCCCTGAGTCACAGCCACGAGAGCAGAGATTGGCACCTTCCCTCTGCTTCCCCTCATGCTGCAGCCCCCAGCGAGGTCTGACCCCACAGAGCACCCTCATCTCTCCTCAGGACACTTCCCTTCCCACCCCATGGCCTCCTTTGGGTGCTCTCTAACGGCTTCATGGCCTTTTCACATTGTGCTGCCCACAGCACTCAAGGTGAGCAGGGCAGAGGGCAAGGAGGATCCTGCTGGAACCAGCTCAGGAACAGAACCGACATGAGCAAACTTCCCAGGCAGCTTTTTGCACCTTAAAAACAATGATGTGTCTTCAGGCATGAGTTACAGCGTGAAGCTCGTGAGACATCAACAAAAGGAATATAGGAAAAAGGTATTTAAATATCATTTAACTTTTGCATCTCTGGAAAAAAAAAACAAAACAAAACCAGAAAACTCTCTCCCTCCTGAGGGTTCTGACAGGGCAGGAGCCTGGGGGGGTCTGGCTGCAGCCCCTGCCCTGAGACCAGGCCAGCCTCACCCACCCCTGGGTCATGGCAATACTCCCTAACCCAACAATCATTAAACACACCTCACATCAGAGAGATCACATTGCAATTAAGCATTGTATCAAGAGTCCAATTAACACCCAGGCTCCTGGAACTCACTAATTTGAGTAGGCTGAGGCTGTATCTGGAGCCCATTTTGGTTTGTGATTTAATTTTGGACAGATTATGTAAAATTGGTGTTGGTATTTCACTGTGATGGTTCATTATTCCAAATGGTATTTGCTGTAGTTTAAGGAAAATATGGAAGTTGATGATACGAAGTCTCATTTTCTCACTAAAAAAAAGTCAGGGGAAGTTCTAAAAATAAAGGTGCAAATTCTTGATGTGTGAGGGCTGTTCCCCATCCCTTCCTCTAAGAGCATCACCCCTATAAATATCCTCAAAAAAATGTCACTGTTTGGTCCTGCAACTTCAGAATTCACAGTCAGTCAATACTGTTAATGCACCTTGTTAATTTGATAGGATTTGTCAGGTAACTCCACTGGAAAATTATATAAAACTGTTCCAGATGAACAGATGATAGTGACATGAATTAAAGTGATAGAACAATAGTGGAATATAAACCAGAAATGACACCCAAAGTGGCTGTTGATTTATTGCCATCCTGAGTTTGGTTCTGGGCTTCCATGTATATTAGTGCTACAAATCTGGGTCCATTTAGCAGCGAGATGCTCATACATACATCACCAGCTCCTGCTCCAAGCCAAGGTCACTCCCCATTGCATCAATCTTCTCAGCAGAGGCTACTTCACCATTTTGTAACCATCTCAGATGGAACAGACTTCCTCCTCTTTCATCTTTTTTTTATCATGTAAAATACACTTTAACTTCTATTATTTTTATCTGCAAATTGTTGCTGTATACTTCATCCATTATTTCTGTATCTCGACATCGCTGGCTGAAGCTCACCCACATCCAGAGAGTACATTGACAAAGAATGTTGTCTTTTTTGTGTTATTGTTCTCACAATCTGGATGTGTTGAAACCTAAAATCAAAACAGTATTGTGTCTGTGGTTTCTGCAGTCTCTGTCTCACAGCACAAATCACTCATACTCAAAACCCAAGTGAAAATGCTCCTTCTACTATTTTTCAAATTCATTCATTTTGTCAAAAGGAATGCCATCAATGTGTGGGTCCAGTAGCAGTGTTCTGTTCTTGCTCCCTTTGTTGGGTCTGCAATTGCCCCCTCCCCTCTCTGAAACACTTGCCAGCAGTTGTTTTCCCAGACAATATGCTCCTGTTAGTTGTGCTAATGTAATACACGAGTAAATGTGTCTTATTCCTCCAGCACAGGATAGAGCCTTTGTAAAAGTGCTGAGAGCGCTGCTGTGTGTGCATTACCCTGTGATATGGGCAGAAACACAAACCCCAGACCTTAAACTGCCACCTTAAATGCAAAAGCCCCATCACTCAGAGGGCTGGGCACTCCTCCCATGGCCATGCACGTATCACCTTTTACTACAGAGCTACACACAACGTACAGAAAATCAAATGTACTCCCATGTTGTTCATAAGCCTTGTCTCAAATTCAATGGTCAGGCCTGAAAACAGCTAAAACATTTCAAAAAGTGCAATCCACTCCTGCACAGCCCCTGACACCACTGATCTGCCAACAAGGAGCAGAGGGGTGACACAGGATTTTTGGGGTCCCCGAGAAACCCTTGTCCTGTTACAGCTGCTACACAGAACTGATGGCACACAAAAGCTGCAAAGAAAAGTCTTTGCAACCGGCCATCACCAGGCTCCCAGGCCAGTCACCTCTGAATTAAAAACTTAGCCCCTGTTGTTGCCATTCCAGGGAGGAAGAAGCAGTCTGTCACTCAGGGAACATGCAACACGCACCAGCCCAAACCCACACTGCCCCTCAGTCCTTGTTTTGCCAATCTTGATCTTCTAATGTCTTTAAAAAATTCAGGAGAAAGCCCAGCAACTTACTCAGACTTTATCAAAAGGTTTTGATTTTCTGTATTTGCCCAAGGTTTGAACACCCTCCTGGGGTTTTCTTTGATTTAAAAAAAATGAAATTAGATTATAAAGTCCCATTGTCAGTGCACTGTCATCAAAATCACACAAGTTCACAGACTGTTATAAAAGGGAAATTTTATGCTCCTTACAGCACTGGGCAGGGTCAGCTCCTCCACTGCTGCACAAGTTAAGCCATTTGTTTCATTTAACAGCTCTTCTCCCTTAACCATTTATCTTTAGTGATCTGTCATGACCTTTTCAAGCTCTCATTTCTGACACTTCCCAGATACAGCGAGTCAAACTTCACTGGAAGCAAACTATCACACCCCGAGAGTTTGCTCAAGGCAGCAAACATGCCCAGCACTGCCCTGCTCCAGCACCAGAGATAAATCCTGCCTCAACTAGACAGCTCAAAATAAACCAAAAAACCCTCTTCTGTGAGAATTTTACACACACACACTCTTACATGTGCTTCAGGATGGAGGAGTGAAGGGACTGTGGTGACAATAATACAGGAGTTGGTACAGTTTAACAATCCTGAATTCTACAGAATAAATGTATTTTGTAAACATTATGGCACTTAATATCTTACTGCTGAATCATTTCTTTATGGAAGTATTTGCAGGAATGTCACAGGTCACCTACCAATGCATCATTAATCAAATTTTCACAATTTAAACACAAAGATAAAAAGCCATTCAATCATTTTAAAACAGTAATGGGGCTTTTATAATTCAGGATTCTGTCAGCCCTTGGCCTTCAGGTTTTCAAAAGCATTCAGCGAGCCAATAAGGACAATATAAAACCTTTAGAGAATGCTCATTTATTTTGTTCCACCTCAAATTTCCACCAGGTCGTTAAAAATCTTTCAGTCTCAGAAAAGGAAAAACCCAATAACTCCCAATTTTGCAAAGCCTCATTTAAAAATAACAAAACAGTTGGCAAGAAGCTTTCCATTAGGAAGCCTAGACTGAAAAAAAGAGACGAGGTCATTAAATAATGGCCTTCCTTCAGAGGCAACATGTGCAACTGATTGGGGATAATAAAAATACTGAAGTATTTTCAACGGAAAGCAATTTTTTAACTGCTGAAACGCCTGCAACGCTTTCAAGTGCTCCGTGAGAAAATGGAGCAAGGTGATGACGATGGATTCAGCGAGGCAGAGATGCCAGGCAGCACTGGCACAGCCCCGAGCTGCCCTGTGCCAGGCACGGGTGCATTTACCTAACTGCACGTCCGTGGTGAAGCGCAGCCGGTGGATCATGCTGACTTTGAAGGACTTGTAGTGGTGGCTGCTGAGCATGTCCTGCACCGTGGCTATGTCGATCTGGGGGTCCTCCTCCGACACCTCTTCTCCTCTGGAACCTGCAAGACAAGGCCCAGGGGCTCCTGAAGGGAGGTTTGGCTCGGGGCACACCTGGGCGTGCCCAGGGACTCTGAGCGGCTCCGGCACCAGGAGATGCCACCCTCCACCCAGGGCAGCCACCAGGCACTGAGGCCACGAGGGCAGGCACTTGAGGCTGCGTGGAGAGCAGCACACCGTGCTGGGGACCAGCTCTCTGGTGGCACAGGCAGCCCTGGACCGTGGGTACCCAGGGGACGAGCAGGGCACCCTGCTGGCCACCCAGCAAGGAGGCCAGAGCTGCCCAAAACCCACCCAGAGGCGTCTGTCTGTCCCCAGAGGTGCCTGTCTGTCCCCAGAGGTGCCCCCTGGATGCCAGCACAGATCCCCCATGTGCCAGCAGCACCTCGGGCATGCCGATGTGAAGCTGCACTTTATTTACTGATTAGTATTCTCATTACCACTGCAGGTATTGCCTTTATAAAAGGCAACAACTCATTAAGCCAAAATGCCAATTACTGAAAAAATATAACACGCTTTAAAGATTTTTTTACATTTTATGACGTTGGATTAACACCAATTTCAACATTACTATAATGTGATATATAATTGCACAGAGTAATTTCGATGCCAGCTGCTAATAAAGCACCTCAGCTCAAAATGATCATTCAGATGCTGGTAGATAAAGTGGCATAAATATGTTTGAAAACTGATTCAGCTTCTTACAGGAGATCCTGAGGAATGACACGTTTTGTTTAATATCCTGGCTAATGTAGTCCTAAAAGCTGAACCAACTGCCAGTTCAGAGAACTAAATTTGCTGCAGGAGATTAATGAAAACTCTGTATTTTGCTGAAATTTTAATAATGAGAAGATGAGATGATGGAGTTTTAGTACAGATTTTAAAGCTCCAGCAAAGCAGGTACCAAATTGTCAGATTTTTCAGTATTAATTTTCCTTGAGACTTGTACTGTTGGAGTGGCCTCAACACTTCACCACTGTGAGCATCTGCTGCTAAATGAGTCCAAAGCCACATGGGGAGCATAAAGCAGGAGATTCCCAGGACACAGAATTTCACCACAGCTTTCCCAGAGCTGCCCTTCTCACACACCACGGACCCTCCTTTGGGGAAGGGGACACCAAAGGGTTAAGCCACAAATTGGGCTGTGCCATTCGACTTGAAAGGATTCCAAAAATCAAATTAAACAGTCTCCATGTGAATTTATGCAGAGCCATCTTAACACTGCAAGCACTCCATGCTCCAGAATGACAAGATAAATTGTAATGGCTCCTTCCGAGACATTACAATGCATTTTGTCACAGACCCCTGTGTTAATGTCTCTATACTATGGATTATCATAATGTATCATGTCAAACCCTCATGCTGCACTACTCCAAAGATACACTGAGATATGTCAAACTTTTTGGTGCACTTAAAAGCATCTTGAGGGGCTGTGGCGTGGCAGAGCCCGGCGGTGGGGCAGGAGGGTGGCAATGGCACTGCTGCCCCCCTGCCCAGGACCCTCTGCCAGGCTGGGGGGTGCCCACAGCCCTGTCCCCACGCTGTGTGGTGACAATGGCACCTGTGCTGGGACAGGAGCTGGGACAGGGCAGCAGAGACCCCTCCAGCTGGGCCTGGGCTGCCCACACAGCCCCAGGGCACGCCTGAGCACCTGGAGCAGAGGGAGCTCGGTCACTCAGCCCAGCTCCCCACTGGAAACCCTGATTTCCAGATGAGACAGCAGCAGTGGGAAAGCAGCCGCAGCTGCACCAGGAGCCAAAGCAGAGCCTGCTCCCACGGGGACCCGCTGAAGCGGGAGCCTCCTGTGCCAGCCCTGCCAGCCCCAGCACGGACAGAAACGGCTCCTCGGGAGCAGCCAGCACTGCAGTGGCACAGGCAGCTGCTGCAGGGACGGGAACCTGCATTTCCCCCATAAAACAACAAAACACAAAGTTAACTGCACTGCAAAAATGTCCCTTATTACATTAATGTACTAGAATATTGCTTAATGAAAGTTCTTAATTGCAATACAATTAATTACACACACAGAGTCCCCAATTACATTTTCCAATAAGACATTGGCTTTGCTATAGGTCTAAAGGCACTAAACCAATTTTAATATATTAAGACCAATTTCCCTTGAATACTAATTACTATCTAATGATAAAATGAGAAAGAGGAACTTTCCAGAAGTAAGATGGCAAGAATAAAACTAAATTAGCCATGAACGGCTTCCTACCACACATAAAGGCATTTCACATTACAAAGTGCAGCTTTCAGTTTAAAGATAAATCTTTGTGCAAGTTAAAAGTTCTGCACACTGGAAGCAGTTTATTAGCTTGAATGCTATTAGTAAATGCTGGCTGGAAAGGGGATTTCTCCATACATATTTCTTAATAATGGAAAGTTTTTGTTTCATTTAATACCCTGAAATATAAACTTTCTCTTTGCCCAAAGGAATGTGGCTGCTCTTCTCCCAGGAGATGCTTGCCATCATCCATATATATATTTATAAATGACTATGAGACTATGAAGAGCACATTTACAAGTAATAGCTGTTACAACTGAGTTTTTTTCTGACTGGCATATCAAAGCTAAAAGTATTTCAAATCAAGACAGAATGCACATAGTGAATATTTCAGTTCGCTGATAGGATTGTCAAGCCATTATTTTATTAATAGTGCAAAACTGTCAATATTTCTATTCTAATGTCATGCCAAAAGATAGCTCCTAAGCACCCCAAAATCCATTTTCTGACTGCAGGGGAGAGCCAGGCTCTGCCCGAGGCAGGGACAGTGAGTGATCTCACAACTGGAGCCCCTCTGTGCAGGGCCAGGGCAGGGTCACGCTGCCTGGGCAATGCCACCCCAGCAGGGCTCAGAGCACCCTCCTGGACGGGCACACAGGGTCACCCTGCCTGGGCTCAGAGCACCCTCCTGGACGGGCACACAGGGTCACCCTGCCTGGGCAATGCCACCCCAGCAGGGCTCAGAGCACCCTCCTGGATGGGCACACAGGGTCACCCTGCCTGGGCTCAGAGCACCCTCCTGGACGGGCACACAGGGTCACCCTGCCTGGGCAATGCCACCCCAGCAGGGCTCAGAGCACCCTCCTGGATGGGCACACAGGGTCACCCTGCCTGGGCTCAGAGCACCCTCCTGGACGGGCACACAGGGTCACCCTGCCTGGGCAATGCCACCCCAGCAGGGCTCAGAGCACCCTCCTGGACGGGCACACAGGGTCACCCTGCCTGGGCAATGCCCACCCCAGCAGGGCTCAGAGCACCCTCCTGGACGGGCACACGAGTGCCAAGGAGGGCAGGGGCGCTCCCCAGCTCAGGCAATTTGGACCCAGCAGCCTCAGGGCTCCATCCCACAGCTCTCCAGGGCTCACCTTGGGGTCCCTGGCCTGGGAGGGAAGGGGAGCAGTGCAGCACAAGGACTTCAGGAGCAGGGACAGGAGTCCCCTCAACACTCTGACATTTATTCTGAGCCAAGGCTCCTGAGGCTCTCCTGGAGCAGAGCAGACTGACTGCCTGCTGCTACACCACGTACAAACCTCCACCAGATTTACTCCTTCAGTAATGGTGCAACCTGAACCCAGGCACTCATGAGAGCAAAGACCTGCGGGGGATACAGCTACAGGACACAGCCTGGATTCCTCCACAGATGATGAAAATACATTTAAAATGCAGTATCTGCAGTATTCTTTTAATTACACAGCCTGGGTTTTAAAAAATGTTATTTTAAATCACAAGCAAAACCCATGGAAGTATGACTAGTGAGGATCATTTCATAGATTAAAAATCAATACAAAAATAATAGGTGGGATGCAGACGTCGGGGAATTCTGGCTTGTGGAAGAGCACAACTCGATTAGCGAGGTCAGAATTGCTCCATTTCCTCAGCACAGCCCCCCTGCTCCCTCTTGCCAAGGTCTCTCCTACGGTTTCTCAGAACCATTTTGTGCAGACATGAACCAGGAGCACCAGGAACATTTTGGGAGCAAGTGCCACCCCAGGGAGAGCAGCAGCCAGAGCTGAGTGCCCATCCCAGCCCCAGCAGCTCGGGGAGCTCAGGCTGCTCCTGTCCCTTGTGCTGCACCCAGGGCTGCTCTGGGGAGGCTCTGCTGGGATCAGATACAACTGCCGGGGCCAAAAGGCACCACTGAAAGGTTTAACCCTTGCACAGAAGGAACAAACTCTTCCACTGCTTGAAGCAGGCTCTCACAATGCTGTGTGCAGTGTTCTTGGCTGAGGGCAGGACTGTGACTGGTTTTACTCATTAGTACAATCAACACTTTTACACAAAATGGAACGAAAGAACACCAAACCTGAGAGCATGGCTGCTGTAAAGAATGAAGAATGGATCAAAATTCCATGGGGAACAAACACAAACCAATGTTAAATGTCTTTTTTAAAAGTTTCTTATTGTTTCAAGTAAAGAAATAAATCAGAAGATAAATATTAGGATCATTAAAACAGTAATAGAATAAAAATATTTGAGCAGAGCTGGAGAGAAGATTATTTGTCTGGCACTTCAAAAATCATCAAACTGCTGCAGTTATTTCTGCATGGCTAATTTCTTTAAATTGCATTAGAAACCCCCAGGGCCTCTGACAGCCACACTGACAGGGCACAACACCCTGCAGACCAACCCAACTCACTGAGCAACGTCTGCAGCACAGACAGGTTCATATTTCGTGTTTTTCAGGGTTGGTCATAACTTTACAGAGCAGTTTAACAGCAAAAGATTAATCATGAAGTGATAAACAGGATGCAGACTATTTACTAAAGGTATGAAATCCATCATTTCCCTCTGGAATATTGTTTTGGCACCACGGAGAAGTGCCTCGGGACAGAGAGTCTCGTCAAAACGTACTTGCCCAGACAGTACAGCTTGTGTTCCAAAATACATAACTTATGTGAGTTTAAGCAGTTTACAAGAGCAAAAGTGAAAAGGGGAAACATACTGTTCTCCCGGACAAGGCAGAATTCCAAAGTGCTCTGGCTCTCCAAGGTACAGTCTAAATCTACTGGGACATTAGGTTCACTCTGCTTCTCCAGCCGATACTGAGGACCTGCAACATAAAGTAACTTGTAAAATCATCTGTTTTCTAACAAAGCGATGGCTTAGCACGTTCAACTCACACGAGGTTGCTGGCAGCCCAGGACACAGCAGGTGGGTGTTGACGTCCCCGAGCCCCTTGCCAAAGGAAGGGCCCTGTCAGCAGCTGGAGGATGCTGTGGAAGGAAACAGCACATCCCACTGTCCACAGCTGTCCCTGCCCTGCCACACCCCTGTCCAACACTCCCACCTGTCCCTGCACAGGTGAGGCTGCACCAAGCCCCTGCCTGGAGTGGGAAACACCCTCAGACCTCACCGTGCACCCTGGGGGCATTTTGGGGAATCTTTCCTGAGTGAGGAAGGGCCCAGTGTTTGCTCCCTGCTGCCCATGCCTCTTGCCTGCACAGAGCACTGGAAGCACCTGGGAAGGAAATCAGCCCTTACTTATGGACTGCATCACACAGAGGGATAGATGCTGCTGCTTTGAATGAATTATTTTCACGTTTTAACAGTAGGTCTTGAAGGTTCAGGTGCCAGCTTCTTTCTGGCCCAACCAAATCCCCAAAGTAAGGACAATATAACTTAAAAAACTATTTTACAACTACAGAAAATGTATAAAAAAATTGGTTTTACAAAAGGTAGGCCAGTAAAAAAAAAAAAATCTTCTAGTTGAATGGATCCTTAAACTACATGGCTTAACTGGAACAAAACCAGGACACTGATCCAATTCCAGGTGAAGCCCCTGAGCCTGCCCCAGCCCTGCTGTCCTGACAGGGGCTGGGAGAGGCCCTGGTGGGGTGGGGACAGACCCAAGTGCCTCTTTAACTAGGTCTCAAAGTAACAAAAAACCTAGAACTGAAATTACAAAATCTGTTCCCTCTTCACCACTACTTAAAAGATTTCTGACTGTTTGCTGACTTTGAATTACGAGCATGTATATGATGAAATATTTAAAATATATAAAAAAATTAAGTCTTTCAGCCTCAGATGGCATGCCTAAGGAATGGAATTTGTTGGCCAATTTATTTTAAATTTACTACAGCAGAATTTCAATTACAGCTGCTCATTCCATCTCCCCACAGCCGCGTGAGGCACTCGCTGCTGGCCGGGCCGTTCCCTCCCTGTGGAGCGCTGGGCACTCTCCTTATTCCCAGTGCCACCCAGCAGGCACAGTGCCAGGCTTTCTGCGGGGCACAGGGGGCTCCCACCCTGCCCAGCACAACCACTGGAGGCACGGGATGCTGCCAAAGCATCAGCAGGGCACAGCACGCAGCACAGAGAAAGGCAAACAGACCCAGCACCAAACTGCCCCTCTCCCGGCTACTGGAAATGTGATTAACTATTTAAATTTAAAATAAATTAGATAAACACAGGCCTGCTTGTTAGGCAGAAGCAAAATATACCGAATTGAAACAAATCTCAAAGCAGTAAATCAATTTGGATTCAAAATCTGGTGTAGGTTTAAGAACAGGACCAGTGAAAGCCAAACACAATGGCTTTGTCTGTCCATCCCAAGCACCTTCCAGAGATTCCTGAGCTACATCCAAGGGCACTGCTGGCACAGATCCGAACATCTGTGCTGTTGGTACCCAGTCCCAAAGCCCTGCTCAACGGGGGCAAACCCTGACGCCATGGAAGGGTCAAAGGTAGGCAGGGCTCGTGGTCCCTCTGTGAGGATCCGATTCCACCCCAAAAACATCACCCCCATCAGAACCAGTCCCCACGCTGCTGAACCCTGAGAAAAGCCATCAGGGACACCCCTCGACACACGCTGCAGTGCCTCAGGGTCATTTCTATCTGGAGCAGCTGGAGAACCCCATGATCAGGTAAACTGTTTTACCCAGTTTGTGTCAAGCCTGTATTAACTCTGCTAGGAAAGCAGGGAAAGAGAGCTCCAGAGCAGGTCAACCTGCCTCATGGATAACTCCTTAAAACCAGAAAATACGGAGAAAAATACTGAGAAATGAATAAAAAAGTGCAAATGGATTTTCAGAGAGTATCTACTCTTCAATTATGCTTTAAATATCTGTCCACATTTACATGACCTCTGCTTGCCAACAGATGAAGAACGTTAGGCTGAGTCTGCGGAGGAGTTTTACTATCAGGCTTCTCTCACAAGTTCAAATGATGTCACTGTAGCAGGAATATTGGATAATTTAATGGTCCCCTAATGGAATCCTGCTCTGTGAATTTCAACAAATTTTCAAGTGGCAATACCAAAGATGGATTTTATGGATTTCTGTAATCTCATGCAAATGTTCAATGCAGCTGTAAAATAAACCTTTAAAATCCTGGCACGGACTGTGTTGGCCAGTGTCCCAAGCCAAGCTCTGCTGCTGCTGGCAGCTCCCAGGGCTCCACACTCCTCCTGGGGTGATCCTCCATCCCACACATCCCTTCACCTGAATCCCTGTGGGACCACTCTCACCTTGGATTCTGTCCCCAGACACCCACCTGGCTATTTCAAGACACCCCTGAAGAGACAGGAATGTTCATCAGGAACTAAAAACAAGACCCCAGGACCCACAGCTCCCTATGAGCGCACAAAGGTGCCTGGGAAGAATCCCACCCTGTAATCAAATTAAGGGTTCTCCTTGCACAAGGGAACAGCCACCTGCATACCAACAAACCAATTCTGTTGCCATTTAAGCTGCAAAGCTTTCAGAAAGGGCTTTTGAAAGCACGACCCATCAGTTCTAATTTTTAAAACTTATCCTTTCAGTCAAGACTAGAAAAAGGCCCATTCCAACTTTTATCTCCACTACAAAGTGCTGTTATCTTGGGCTGTTGTCAGGAGCTCTCTCTCTCTTTCTGCTGACAAGCAGAGACTAGAGAGATAAGATTGGGAACGAATCTCACTTCTCTGAGTAAATAAATAATCAATACTCATCTAAATGTAAATGAGAAAGTATCCCCCTCTGATAACAGGGCTCTTATCAAACAGCCAATTTTCTGCAGACATTTGGCCTCAACCAAATCACCATCATTCAGCCCCAGCCTAATGGCTAAAAATCGTAACTAAATTGAACCGATCACCAGAGATCAACTAAGTTCAGCCATGGCTACTACGGGTTCAAATGTTTGGAATGCAATTTTTCCCCCATTAACTTTCAATAGCAATGAAGAATGCCACGGTCAGGGGTGAATCTGCACAATAAACAACACTAACACTGAAACAGGGAACCAGGCTTTAAACAAAACCCCAACTAAACCCCCTCCATCTCCAAACTAGTTGCCAGGGTGAAATAAGGATTATAGAAAGAATATTTAATGTTTGTGGAGTTGCCAAACCTAAACAAAAAACCAGTGTCAACAAAACCATCCAAACTGTTGAAAACTGAGGCGACATTTTACAGCATTTGTCTCTGTAATAAAACACTTCCCTATGCCTGTATATCCCCCTCTTCACCTTCAAGAGCTCCCATAATCCTCACCAACACCCCACTTCCACCTGTGCTACATCAGCTGTTTCTGTTCCCTTTACAGTCCATGCATTTGTCCAAAACACTTTTGAATTTCCCATTTCCATGACATTTACCTCCTGAATTTATTACCCTGCGTGAGGAAAAGTATTCCTCTTGTTCCAATGAGCCACTGCCACCCCAATGTTTGGGGTGAGCAGCTCCTGTCTCTGAGCTACCAGGATAAAACCTTCCCAATTCACTGTCCCCACCACCTGCACTTCACAGACACCTCTCGTACCCAGTTGTGCCCTTTCCACACCAGAAAAGCCCTTCCCTCCTCAGCAGCTGCTCCTCATTTCACGTGCCTGATCCATTTCCATACTCATCCCTTTCTGCATCTCTTCACTTCTCTTTTTTGAGACAAAATACAGCAATTAAGACGTGGGTACGTTGGGATTTATGGACTCAGCTCTTGATGCTCCATTTGTCTTTCTGCCTGCTCCTACACGGAGCTGAAGTGTTCAGAGAACTACTGTGATGATGCTGGATACTTTTCCTGACTGATGGAAGGTAATTAGAGCCCATCATTGTACACATATAGTTACAGTTGCTTTTCACCATGTATATTATTTTGTACTCATTGACACTGACTTCCCTCTCTCGTTTTATTGTCCTGTCACTCAGCACTGTGGATACCTCTGCAGTGCTTCACAGACAGCTTTTATTTGCACTATTCTTACCTCTTTTGTATCAACAGCACATTCTGTCACATCAGCATTCACATCCTTCCCATGCCCCACATTAAGGAACAATGCAGGTTCCACCAGTTCCACTGGAGCTCCACCAGTAACCTAGTTACTAATCACCAAGGGCCATTATTCCTATTCTTTGTTTCCTGTCTTTTAATCAATTATTAATCCATGTGAGGATCCTCCTTCTCATCCTGTGACAGCTTAATTGCTTTACGAGCCTTTGTCAAATCTTTTTTGGAAATCTAAGCGTGCCATGGCAAACCCACCATCCCCTTCAGATGGTCTCTGGCTCCCTCTCAGCGTGCTGGAGCACAGCCTGCCCTGCCACAGCCATGCCCCTGTATGCTGCAATTGCTCACATGCCATCCATTAATCCTGCTCCTTGCTAGGGGCTCCTGTTACAATTTCTGTTGGCCTGGTGAGAACGCCCAGGCAAACCTGTCTGTCCTTGAACCCCTTCCACAGAGCGCTGCCACCTCCCACACTGAGAGCAGCTGTGTGAGCAGCACCTTACACACGGTGCTCGTGGGGCAGCACCGCCAGACCCTGCTCCTGCTCCCTCTGCAAGCACCACGGGGCCACAGAACGGCCCAGGGAACCTCCTCCACTGCCTTCCTCTGCCATGCAGGGGCACCTTCCCTGCCCCAGGCTGCTCCAAACCTGCTCAACCCGGCCTTGGGCACTGCCAGGGATCCAGGGCAGCCACAGCTTCTGGGGCCAAAGGAAATAACAAAGGGAAAGAAAAAATAGCAAAGAAAAAAGAAAGAAAAGATCAGAAATGTGGGCAGTTAGGCAGCCACAGCCCAACAGCCACGGTGACAGATGCTGGCCAGGAGGGAACAAGCAAAAGGGAACTG